AAACATTTTCTCCATCTTAAGTGGTATATGTAAAATTACTTAATATCCTGCCCCTGCTGTGTAACACTTTCGTAGAAGCACACCACTGAAACTGGGAGGAAAAAAAATACTTCTCTGTCACTCACAAGGCTGCAGCTGATCAGTGGTGAGAGCAGAGAAACAAAGCTCGTCTGCACTCGCTGCTGGTTTTCTGTTTTGGTGATGTGTGTATTGTATGAGTGACTTCAATTGGATAGCTGCCCTTTACTGTAAAAAAAGACCAAAGACCATGTAAGCACCCAGCTACACAAACTGGCTTCATGGCTCTGGTGCCTTAAGCAGATAATTGAAGATGTCTGATCTGTCACGTTGGGACCAAATAATCACAGATGACACATTTGTCCTAGAATAATTTTGAAGCTGGTCATACAGACCATCCCAGAGGGGGAGGTGTAGACATGAGGGGGAAGAAGGGAGGTTGAGAAAGTGCTGCTGTTTGGAGCTGTGTATCACTGAACAGTAGTGACTGACTTTTCTCCTGGTTTCAGCGCCCATGTTGCCCAGCCTGTGCCCACAGCAGTCCCGGTCTCCCTGCCGGGTGGCTCGGGGTGAGCTGGGATGGTTCCCTCTCCCACCGATTGTGGGGAGCGTGGGGAGAGGCAGTCTCAAGCTGCTGGGAGAATAATTGTGCTATTAGGCTACGTGGCGTCCTGTCTGCCATCAATTACAGCCTCGGCTCAGAATAAAAGGGAATGAAAGGGACTTGCAGCCAAGCCCTTGCCTGCTGGTGAGGAGAGGCTGTGGGTGCGTTTTGAAAGGAGAGTCAGTGAGGGAAGTGTCATGCTGTCAGGCTGCAGATGGGAAAAGGGAAGCTACATTTAAAAGAAAAAAACCCACTTGGGATCCTGTTTGTTACCTGCAAAGTTGTGTGCAATCAAAATATGAATTAAACAGCTTTTTGTAGAGTTTTGTTTCCTGAAAACAGAGAATTGTACATAGGTGGAGAGACGAAAACTGGATGCATAAGCAAGCAGAGTTCGGCTTGCTGTACAACTGATGTCAAAATGGTAACCTGGCATCAGAGAGACAGTGCAGAGGGTTATTTTTCACAGCCTTGATTCCTAAGTACAACACTGTGGTTCAGGAAGACAGGGTGGTTGTGAGCTCCACGCTCCTGCTCAAAAGCTGTAATGATCTCTCCTCTCCCTTATCACCAGCTTATGCCGTGGAGCTGCTCCCACAGAAGGGGAGGTGTCCTTCTTACCTGGCCTCTCTGGTTTTGGTTTTCCTGGCTGCCACTTCCACATGCTGAGTTCGTGCTGGAAGTAATACAGCCAAATTGCTTCCTCCAGCTACTCCTCTCAATTGACTCTTCTCCACAGGGAGCTTTAAATGGTGCACATGGGGCAGTGCAGAGCCTGAAATCCCGTTAACCCTGGTATTTCAAAAAGATCAAGGCAAACAGAGCTCTGATCTCCACCTTAGGAAATGATGCACAGTTGTAACAAGTCATTACCCTAAAAAGAAGAAATGAGGCTTCATACCGTACGTTTTAACCTTAATAACTAAAACACGTTCTTTTTCAGCTATTTTGTATGCTTGGCTATGCATGAGGAAAGGTCTCTTTTTTTTTTTTTTTTTTTTTTTTTTCTCCAATATTAACGGGTACGATGCTGCAGTGCTTTTTCAAGGGAGCTAAACTAGGAAAATATTTTAAAATCCACATTTTTTACTCTTCTGTGGTAACCTAGTTAGTTTGTGGAAGATAAGAGGATTTGTGGAAGATAAGAGGAACCAGCCTTAGTCTGAGTGCTTGAAACCAGCAGGGAGTCAGCTGCCATCCTTTACCTCCAGGCACTGTAGGTCTTTGCCCTCCAGGATTTACTTCCAGCAGCAGACTCCAGCTGTGCTCCCAGGTGAATTAGAGCTCTGAGGTTATAGATTTGTCCACTAATCCTTTCCCTGGAACTTTGAATCAAGGCAGCCGGAGGGTGGTAGTGCATTTCTTATCAATAGTGTGCTGCTTATCACTGATGGTAGATACCTCCTGAGCTGTCTAATCATCACAAAACTTGCATTCAGTCTTAGCAGGATGCTTGTTATTCACTCAGATAGTCCGACACAGAGCTGTTCTGCCATTTACTTTACCCTATCTGTTGCATAAAATGGACAATCTGGGCTGAGATGGATGCCTTCCCTGGAAAGCAGTCACAAAAGTTGGTGAGTAGAGGCAGGTACCTTCCTCCTTTTAGATCTCTGAGCAGAGCGGGGCACTAAAGGCAACAAAGAGCCTCCAGGTTATGTATGCAGCACATCCCTGCTAGCCTTGTAGCCTTTCCTGGTTATTTTTGTATGTGTTTAAGCAACTGTTGTGGTAAATCATTTCATCCTACCAAGACATAGGTTAGCAGCCACTTTTCAGATCAGTTTTGCAAATACTGCACAGAGCGTGCTGAGTGCCTGCTGAGCAGCCAGAGCAACAGTTTGTGTCACAAGAGAAAAACAAACAAACCTGGATGATGACTGGAAACATCACCATGGGAAAAAGATGTCCTACTGTTGCCATAAAGCAAGATCATGGGAAAACAAAAGCAAACACTTTGATATGTTTCTTCCCTCTAAAAAAAGGCTTTAAATAATTTGTCTCCTTTCAAAGTTACACAAGTCTCCTAAAAGTAAAATTCTGTGGTTTCTGAAGTGCAACAGCATGGTCCTATGGCAATTGCACCAATGTGGAATCAACTACTTCCAAAACTGTATTTAAAATAGAGCTGTGAGTTGGTATCTGAAGAATAAGTAACCTATTTAAATGTATAAAGGAAAGCAAGTGAGCTCAACCATGCAGTGGTTCTCCGCTGAAATGTCATGAGCAGCATCATTTACATTCAACCTTCCTTTGAACCCAGAAGAGTGCTGTGTTAAAAACTCTTTCACTGACCCATGGAGGACAGACTGACAGGCTCTTTGTTGTAGAGTCAACTTAGGAAATACCAGAACTAAGGTTGTCTGTGCAACCCTCCTCTCTGGTCCCTCTGTGGATGTGCCACAATATGGGCTTTAATTCCATAATCCTTCGGTCATTTTCCACTGGCCCCCTGCCTCCCTCAATGTGGAGGAGGCACAATGCTGCCTTAACGAGCAGACAAGGAGTGCCTTGGCTTGTCATTATTTGGTCTGTGACTGCAGACCTCATTCAAGTTCTACTCTCCAAGTCCTGCTCTGAAAACTCAGTGTTCAGTTTTCAGCTGGTTTACACCTTATCCCACAGAAGTCTCGCAGACCTTCACAGGCGCGACCCTTGCACCTTCCAGAGGGTGTTTGGTGGTTAATACCTTTGTTTTGCAGATGGACACCAAAAAATAATCAGTTGTTTAACACCTACTGATTCTTGCCATCCCATAACCATCCATAGCACTGGAGCACAGTCCCTGAGGAGGGCTGACATGGTTGTGAGTGCTGTACACCTCAGTAGACCAGACCCTCATGCCTCCAGTCAGCCATCCAGAGAACAAGGCAGGGTAGAGGTGGCCACCCCAGCCATGGTCCTGTGGTTTCTGGCTATGGCCTGTGAAGTAGAGCGCTAGTTGTATGGGAGAGGTGATCACAGCACGACCCAAACCCCGCACCCCTGGTCTGTGAGTCAGAGCCCCAGCCCACATGGACAGGGCATGGCCTGACTCTAGTAAGGTGTCCTGGGATGGTGTGGCTTAGGAAAGCATTGCCTTGGCAATGCTTTTACATCACCCACCCAAATTTCTTTCCTTGTACCTGCACAGGTGCCTTTTCTGACACTGCTGTGGTGGTGAGGGTAGGCTGCAAGAGAGAATCTGGGTCGTTTTTCTGTGTTTTTTTGGTTTTTTTTTGTTTGTTTGTTTGTTTGTTTGTTTGTTTGTTTTTTTATAGCTATTCTAGATTCTAAATGAAGTCTTCAGTTTTTTTTCTTCAAACACATCTTGAGTGTGAGCAGATGGGCAGAAGCAGCAGCTCACGTGGAACAAGCATAAACAAACCTTGCCTCACGGGGGAGTTTACCCTGTTCAGCTCTGGGAAGCACAGGCCCTGGAGCTCTGCAGATTGTGACCACAACTGCAGTCATAGTTTTCTCCCAGGTGTGAAATTGTGATGAAATGCTCTTTTTTTGTTAAGGCATGCAGCTCCCTTCTCCCAGCTGATCTCCGAGCAAAGTTAACCCGTAGTCATGTTGGGCTGTGAGGAGTTGGATAGCTGAATTAAAATTAAATAGTACAAAATTAAATAGAAGTCTAAAACTGAAACAGGGCACTTTAGTAGATATACTTTTCCCTTCAAACAGCTTCATGGCTTCTTTCCTGATACCCCTTTTTCTTTGGAAGAGCTGCCCTTAAAACCCTCCGGACTCCTGCATAATTCTATTTTGATTTGGTCCTCCTCACTCAGGATCTGTAGTGATGCCTGCAAAAGCTCCAGACAGTAGCTTGGCCATGGGTAGCTGGCGAGCTGAGCTCTGCATAGTTTTCATCACTTTATCCTTCTCTTGTGCTTGTGTGGTGCGTGCAGCATGTGGAATACAAGAGGACTCCTCTCGGCTGTGGTGCAAGCAATCACTGTGTTAGTGTGTTTTGTTCTGTCACAGGATTTTTGTGATGGAGAATTAAGGAACAGTCATGCCTTAGTGTCTTTGTTCAGTTAGGTGGATTTCTTTTTTCCACAGCTTTGATGCCACCACAAGATTTGTAAAGCAACAGTAACGTGCTTTGGTTGTAGGGTGAGCTGCGTAAGACACCTCAGGGTACAAAGCTTTTCAGACAAGGACTCAGAGGCAGGAGGAGAAGGGCTGTGAATAGGCAAGTGTGAAACTTCACACGCTGTCCATTTTAGCCCTGGGGTGCTCTGAGATTGTTTAATTTTTTTTTTTAATAGCAAATGAATTGTACATAAGAACAATGATGTATATTGTGAAATGGGCAAGGCTGGCTTCAGATGCTGCTGACAATAATTGCAAGGCCAGTCGTTTTCACATAAGAATGGTGTTTTTGTTGCAGATTGATGTCCTCAAGGCAGATGTGGAGAGCGCCGAGTGGAAAATTTTGGAAAACCTGATCCTGGAAGATGTTGTTGAGCAGATAGGACAGCTGGTCTTCGAGGTACACATCCACTGGCCTGGGTTTGAGGTCAGCGGCAACGACAGCACTGTGGTGCGGTACTGGTACAGTCTGCTCCGAGAGCTGGAGCTGAAGGACTTCAGGCTCTTCCATACCTACAAAGACTTATCGAAACCACAGATGTTTCTGAAAAAGGAAGCCTTCAATGCCAGTAGCTGTTACAGACTGAGCTGGGTAAATACAAGATGGAAATAGCAGGAAGGAGTTTGTGGTGTGTGACTGTGAGCCATCTGGCCCTGCGCCATTACCCAAGAGGACTTTGGCGTCACTGGCATGTGTTGCTAGATGTGCACACAGTGACTGCTAACAAAATGAACTGGCTTTTATTCTTATATGTTATCACCAGAACTGGCACTAGGAGAAGATGCATGGTGCAGATCTGTGTAGCCATATACTTGCCAGCAGGTGCAGTGTCTCAGAGGACAGAGGTGTCTGTAGAGGTTTGTCTGTGGGGCCTAACAGCATGGCTTTCCCAGGCTGGTGTGCAGGCCACCCCTTGGGGCTGCCCCAGAAAGCTCTGCTCACTGAGCTGCACCAGCCCTTGGGCACACCAGTGCTCCTCAGGAGGTGCCTTTCTCAGGAAGGGTCAGGTGTTACTTCTCTGTAAAGCAGTTGTCTTTTGCACCTTCTTTACTTTGGCCTTGTTTAGTATGGATCAAGTGTAGGCAAGAACCATATGTTTTTGAACTCACACTCAACTTTCAGCCGAATTTGGTGGAGGCAGAAATCACTACCAAACTCAATTCCTGCCTGTTCTGTTGAGCAGCTTCTGAGTGCCCTGGCTTTGACAAGATCTTTAAGGCAGTCTGGCTGTGGGAAGTGAGCGAGTGTTTCTGACACAGGAGATGGTGGCACAGAGAGACTCAGCTGCCAGCAAAGCTGCCACCAGCACCCACCTTCCAGAGGCTTCAGCCACAGAAGAGAAGGCTTCCCTAATTCACCTGCTCAAAAGATGATTTGTTTTAAATTACTCTTGCAGTGGCTGTAGCATAGTGAGATACTTACTTAAAAGAGCTGGAAGTGACATCCAGTCTTTTTCTTTAGTTTGCTTGTTTGTTTTGGGGTTTAGTAGAACATTTTGCTGTGTGCCTTCTCCAGCGCAGCATCTGGAAGATCTGCTACCTCCTCACCACCTCCTTGGCCTGGCTGTCTCTCCCTGACACGTGGAGGGCAGGCCCTGGGTCTGCACCGGTGGTGGCACACGCAGGTGCCCTGGTCTGTGGCCATGCTGGGGCTCTGTAGGCTGGCACAGGGCTTATCTGCAGTGCACTCCCAGGAGCCAGCCTTGGCTCTTCCCTGAGGAGCTATGGAGTGGGGGGGAAGCTAAAAATATGTATAGCAACTTGGTTTTTTCTTCTCTTTGAAAGAATTTTAGCATTAAACTTTCCATTAAAATACAAGGTGACACTACTTCCACGTCTTCTGTATACAGCCTTTGTAACTGCCTGTGGTTTCTGACTTCTGCAGGGCTCCTCCCCTGGCCTCAGCCCAGTGCAGTGTTTTTAACAACTCCCTCTTCCCATGTTGTTCCTTCTCTTGTCATCCTGGCACTTCCTTCTCTCCCTTCATGCCCTCCTGACAACATTTAGCCCATATCTGGGGCTAAACTATAGCAGTTGCTTTATGACCTGATGACTCCTCCTTAGCAGAGAAGGAGGATCAGGAAGAGGAGAGATCTGTGAGTTGAAATGAAACCAGATTTAATGAAACACCACAATTAATACCAATATAAAAAGTTGTACTCAGCCCACCTCTCTGAAGAGCTCTGCTGCCCCAGGGTGGGGAGGGACGGCTGTCCCCTGCAGAAACTGCTTCAGCATTTCAGCTCACCTCCATTTCTTCCAGAAGAGGCCAGCAGGTAGGTTGGGTGACCGTCTTCCTCTCACCACCCTTGCTCTGGGTGGCTCTGGGGAGCAGCTTGCCCTGGTTTCAGTGCTCACCTCCCACGTGGACCTGCAGGGCCAATCTTGGGGCTTGAAACTGCTGCAGTGAATCTGACTTTGGAGCATCTCTTTTTGTCACAGAGGCCTGAGACCTCAGGCTGCTTTGGAAGATGGAGAAAAAACCCTTCCTGCTTCAGTGGTGAGGGGCTAGTGGAAATGGAGGTGACTTTAATCTCTTCAGTGAAAGGCAGCTCTGTGCCCTCATGCATTCAGGTTTGTATCAGTCTTCCTAATCGTATCTGAAATTTTAACTTGTGGCTAAATGTCAAACCCTTTCTTTTACAACAAATGCACAGTAGTTTTCAATCTACTGCCTTTCAGTCACACTGACAGTGCCGTGTTTGCATGGATTCTCTGGTTTACTGCCTCCCCATTTTTATTTTCCTTTTAGTATTTCCTGCAGTGGAGTTCAATTCTAAGGGAACTTGGCTTCTGTGCATCAAATGCCTGGTTTAGGGAAGAATGAAGAAGGTGCAGCTGTATGAGGACTACTGACCAGGTGATGATCCCAGTTATGTCTGTGCTAATAAGCAGTGGCAGGCAGCACGCACAGGAATGGCTGGCTGGTTAATCAGTGAGATCTCTGGCAGAATTTTTGGCTCAGGCCATCTAGGACTGTCCAAGATAATTCCTAGGCACGACCATGGAGTCAGCCCAAGTCAAGGATAGCTTGGATCCTGCCACCTTGTTTGGGAAGCTGAAAGAGTTTAGTAAATGGATGTGGCCAGGCCATCTTTGCCAGTTTGCCTCAAAGCTGGGGAGTACCTCCTGGTACCATTTTGTCTTCTGGTATAATTTAACAAGAGCAAGTGGTGGATTCTCCACTTAGGCCTGGGTAATCCTGGTGATACGTACAAGTTGGGGGGTGAGAGGCTGGAGCGTAGGCCTGTGGAAAGAGATGTGGGGGTTTGGGTTGATGGCAAGTTGAACATGAGTCAACAGTGTGCCCTGGCAGCCGAAAGGGGCAGCCATGTCCTGAGGGGCATCAAACATATCATAACTAGCTGGTTGAGGCAGGTGATTGTCCCGCTACACTGCACTCAATGCACAGCCCCACCTCGAGTACTGTGTGTAGTTTTGGGTGCCTCATCATAAGAAGGACACCAATCTATCAGAGCGTGTCCAGAGGAGGGTGACCGAGATGGTGAAAATTCTTGAGGATAAATCTTGCAAGGAGTGGCTGAGGTCACTTGGCTTGTTCTGCTTAGAGGAGATTGAGGGGTGACCTTATTGCAGTCTACAGATTCCTCAAGGGGGGCAGTGGAGGGGGAAGTGCTGACCTCCTCTCTAGTGACCAGCAACAGGACACAAGGAAACGGAATGAAGCTGCATCAGGGAAAGTTCAGACTGGACATTAGGAAAAGGTTCTTCACTGGGAGCATGGCTGGTCACTGGAGCAGGCTCCCCAAGGAAGTGGTCATGGCACCAAGACGGTCAAAATTTAAGGAGCATCTGGACTACCCTCTTAGTCGTATGGTTTAGTTTTGGGTAGTCCTGCAAGGAGCAGGGAGTTGGACTATTGGGTCTCTTCCTACCTGAGATATTCTATGATCCTATAAACATAGTTTCTGTTACTGCTCCTGCCCATCCAGCCCAGGCCAGGGAGCAAGGAGCTTTGCAGTCACCCAGAGCAAGGCCCTGTGGGGGCCCACCATGTCCTCAGCTCTGCAGTGCTGAAGATCAAGATGACCTAGTGCAGATGTGCTAGATTTCCCATGTCCAAGATGTTGGGCAAAGCACTTTGCTTGGGGCCAGGCTACATACTGCTGTCCCTGAGCCAGGTAACGCCCAACCCGAGAGACCCATGACTGCTGGAGATGAGTAGGAGATGCTCCCCCATGACAGCTGTGCTTGCTGCAGCCCACCTACCTTAAGTGCTGAGGTGGTTTAACGAGGCAGGGCTATGAGGAGAGGCATTAAAGTGTCCAAGAGTTCCTAAACCAATCTCTAGCTTGTTGAAACAGTTGTGCTTGCTGCACCACAGAGTGGATCAGCTCCCATTTTTCAAATAATGGGGTGGCAAAAGCCCAGCTGCAAGCCCTGATTTTTTTAAATAAAGCATAAAAATATGGGCTTTACCACTGCACAGGTTTTTCCCTCCTGGTTAATCCTAGAGTAACTAGCCTAGGAGCTTATTATAATTTTTTTTTTAAGAATCCGGTAAATAGAGGTTAAAAAACAAATTACACAATCTCTCTTAGATTTTAAAATTCCAAAGGGATACACATCTTCCATCATTTACTGGGCTGAAGTAAAAATGGTGATGTATATGTAAATTATAGAATTGGAGTAGAGATCCATGCTGGTTCTTCTTTGCTTAAGAGTTTAGTAAATCCTCAGCTAATCTTTTGCTCAGGATTGGCAGGTAGTGTCAGGAACAATTCAGTCTGTAGCAAATAAATCTTCTGCAAGAAAAGATTCCAATAACTATGGTAATTTTTAAGGAAACATTATCTCAGATACAGGATGGATAAAAGCCATTTATCATTCTTGAGGCAGTTGGTGATATTATGGGAGAAAATGAACAGTTCTTATTTTATGCACTATCTGTGCCTTTCTACTTCACATCTCTTAAAGCAGAGTTACAGCCTTCCTTTCTGAGGTCTTGCTTTTGTGCCCTTACCCCTTCTCTTTTATTGATCTCTTTTACCTAAAGGAGAGACTCTGAATGAATTCAGCTCCCATCTCCTAATAACTGAGCTGCTGGGCATGTGCGCAGGGGCTGACTCTGCCCCCGTGGACAGGCTGACACTGAGGGACACTGCATGGGGTAGGTCTGTGTCCACCCACTGCCCTGCCCAGGCACAACTGGCCCCTACCTGCTGCAGGGTCTGGCTGTACACCCTGCACTGGTATCTCCAGCCCGTTAGGGACTGTGGTGAGAGAGAAAGGGAGTGATCCAGGAGGCTCATGCTCCTTCATCCAGAGCTGAAGATCCACCAACCAACCCCTCATCCTGAGGTTTACTGCTAGGTGCTGGTTCTCAACCATGCCAGGCACGTGTGTTTGAGCCAGCCTTCCTCCTGTAGGATGGCTCCTTGCAGGAAGCACTGCGTTGCCCAGGAGTGGCTCTGGAGGAGAATGGACTGTTGGGGAGCCTGTAAAGCAGGTGAGGAGCTGGTTGAGGTAATCTCCCTGCAGTGAGCCCTGCAGTAACCGCATACCAGCATCATACTCCACCTCTCTTCCCAGATCAGACCTGCACAGAAACTGCATTAGCTGCCTCCTTCTTCAAGAGCCAAGCCCAGAGTGCACCATTAAAACCAGCGTGAGCAGGGCTTTCTCCTGTTATAGCCACAGCCTGGAGACTGGTAACTGTGGCCATGCCCAGGCAGGAAGAAAGGGCCACTGGCTTGTCCCAGCATTGCTAAAATATTCCTGAGTGCCTGGTCTGGGT